AAAAAAAGAGGGGACGTTGACTCAAAAAAAAAAAAAAAAAAAAAAAAAAAAGTAAATGCATGACATGAACTTGTTCTGCATTTTATACTTTTAAAGAACTCTGGGTAAGATTTTTATTAACCCTTTAAGTGGAGCGACCCCCCATTGTGGATAGGGTGACGTGAGACTGCACTCACCTGTGTAATGAAATGTGAATATGGCAGGAACAGCTGCTCTAGTATATAGATGACGGTAAAGATGGCTCCTAGTTTCTGCCGCAGCCCATACCGCACGGTTCCTTTCCCCTTCTGACTGGGGTAGACACACTCTGTACTCTTCTGCGGCGGTTGAGTGCGGGGTAGGATGCAATGCAGGCAGCGGGGCAGTTTGGACACAAGTCGTCGTGGCCAGTCAGGGTAACAGAAGAGAGGGCTGGTGGCCAGCATGGTGTAAGAGAACATCCCTGTGAAGAGAACATCAGATAAAGAACTGTGGGAGTTTTTCTTAAAGAATACCCATGAAGTGATACTCTCCCCTTCCCCTGCCGCAAAGGTTAAATACCCAATAAACGCAGGGGTAGACACCAGGTGTGGTGCAACTGCAAATCCCATTAGGCAATGCAAGACTCTGACAGGCATGGCTCCCAGAGGCAGGGGCATCATGGGATTTGTAGCTACACAACAGCTGGAGGGCCGGAGTTTGCCCACCGTCGAGGAAGACTAGAATTCGGCAGTGAATGCTTTTCACCGTCTCCACTTACCGATACTGAACAGCTGGGAATTCATACAGTGGAAATAGCTGACGAAAAACATGCTTATCGGACGTGTGACATCGAAGAAGAGGAGGTATCCTGCCGTCAGGTCTAAGATCAGACCTCCCCAATGGACCACCACCAGGCTTGTCATCTCCTCAGACAGGAGCAACCTACCAGAAAAACACACAGGGCCTGATGAATGAAAACTGGAGGAAGATGGAGGTCTTTGCGACTCAAATTTCAGTAACATTTTAGCACGCCAAACAGCACGCTGATTTTTGGTGCGGCAATAAAGACAACGTTTTGTCGCTGCACCAAAAATCAGCGTGCTTATAGGCTGATACGAGAAAAGGCCCCGACTCAGATTTGGGGAGTCAGGAGACAATTTAGGGCTCCAAAACATCTTCAACTGTGACTAATAAAAGGATTCCTGCCAGCAAGAGATGTGAAGGCGAGAACTACGATTCCCAGAGCCTCTCTGTATGTACAAACATAGGTGACGATTTACCAGAAGTCCCTATTCATGTACTGTGACTGTGCACCAATTCACATTTAAAAATTAATTTCATTTGATATTTTTAAAAACTGTTTTGGTTTTTTTTTTTTAACTTTAATTGCTATCTCATAGGGGAGCTCAGAAGCCCCCCATGTGATAGCAGATTGGAGGTGACAGGTACTCTTTAAGGTGATACTGGGGATCCAAAAGACTCCTAGTGTCACCTTTACACTCTCAATAACCTATTGAAGTGCAGATCGCACTTCAATAGCTTATTGCTGGGCTTCAGGTGCCTAGCAATAACAACTATGGGACCGGAAGTGATGCAATACGCATAGCTCCCGGTCCCATAGCACGGGAAGGAGATCGGTGAACGGAGGTTTGCTGATCTCCTCCCTAGCTTCCTACCGACACCCGAGATGCCGGTCCTGGGCCCGTAGGAGGGGCAGCGGAGCCCGGGAAACACGGCAGGGGTGATGGGCGGGCACTTTACCGGCCTGTAGAGACGATCTGGCAACAGCTGAGTCGCCAGGATCGCTTCTATTGTAAAGCAGAGTCCCGGCGGCTAAAGCTGTTTAAACGGGCCTGATGCCAGTGACTATGTATGTTATGGTCATTAAGCGCTTAATATTGATTAATAAATATATGCTTTAATATAGGGGTGGGCAACTCTGGCCCTCCTGCTGTTGTGGAACTACAAGTCCCATGAGGCATTGCAAGACTGACAGGTACAGGCATGATTGAGGTGAAGACACGTTGGGATTTGTAGTTAAAGCACAGCTGGAGGGCCAGAGTTGCCTACCCCTGCTTTAATGTCAATTTAAAGATCAAGGCTTGGGTGGTACATTGGTACACGGTGGTGTATGTTCATGCACGTGTAAAGAAATCTGTCCTTCAATCAGTCCCCAAATTGCACATTGACAGCAATAGTAAACAATAGAAGCTGCCTATAGAGTCCATTGTATAAACCTGCTCCAAATAAACAACCAGAAAGGTAAGAAATCATTTTTTAATTACTTTTAGGTCCGCTGTGTGAATGGGAATATGTAACATACATATAGTGGAAATATGGGGGGAAAGTTCTCTCAATGATCTGTGTGGTGCAGCAGCAATAATCTCCCATTATAATCTATGACTAAACTGCGCCACCTAGTGACCAACCTGTGCAGTTCAGACAGACCTTGCAGACAACCTTCTCTACTACTGACCACATCTGCAGACAAGTTCAATGGATGGAACAAAGCAGAAGTAGAATCTTTTCATGGTAATAACCATTTACATGGCCATTACAATAAATAGTACAAATATATGAAGTACTAGAGTTTCTTTTAAGGAAAGTCTAGTAGTCTGGACACAAAATACATACTTAATGGTTGGATTGAAAGCTCCTGGAAGGTTTATTAGAATATAATGGAGCTGTAATGGTGTAACTGGGATCTGTTGTGGACCGCCAATATATATTTTATATCCTCTTCCATTCTGGGTGACATGTAGAAGCTCAATCTTTACCAGGAAAACACTAACATACTATATTGGTGGAGATCTCTGTAGTATTGGTGTAATATTTGGATATTTACACACTACAAGGAATATGCACATGTGTTATGCTAAAATGGGATTCCACATGTGAATCCAGTTTTACAGCTAAACCTCATGAGTGTTCCTTATAGGAATTGGTCATGGCGTGCTGTGATCCTTAACTCAGACCTTCCCATCACCAACTATAACCCCCCCTCGTAGCAGTCTGCTATTGATCATTCACTATGATGATTTTAGTCCCCTATTAGTGGTCATGGTATAAACTGTAGTAGTGATAGCATTATAAAGCATCACAAAGTAGGCAACCTCAGCACTCCAGCTGTTGTAGAACTACAAGTCCCATGAGGCAATACAAGACTGACAGCCACACATATGACTCCCATAGGCAGATGTTTGCAGTTTTACCACAGCTGGAGGGCAAAGGTTGCCTACCCCTGTAATAGGCAGCACAGGGGGGCTGAGGCTACTAGGTGCAATTACAAGCTGAACCCCCCATATTGGATGGAATTAGCTTTTCAGTATATGTAAATGAATACAGTGTTTGTTTGATACACATGCAGTCTTACTTGAATGGGTCAAAGAGCCAATGACGTGACAGCGTGCCCATGGAGTACCCTTCCACCCAGTCTGCATCCAGCTTCTTGATTCCAGCGATAAAGTACACAATGAAGATCTGGAAGATATCACACAGAAAAGTAATGTTCAAGCTTATAGAAAGATATTAACCTGCATTTCCATTCTTCCAGTAAGACGAACTATACCAGGGATAGGCAAACTTTAGCCCTCCGGCTGTGGTGAAAAAAAACATCCCACGAGGTAGGGATGCACCAACACTGGTTTTTCGGTATTAAGTACGAGCACTGATATTTGTACTCTGGTACTCGCTGATACAGAGTACCGATACTTCCGGTAGCATGGAGCCGGATTCCCGGGCACTCAGGAAGCCGCGCAGCGTGTCATTACCCGCTGCCCGGCTTCTTGATTGCCCGGGAAGCCGGCATCCCATCCACTCAGCATAGAGCCGGCTTCCCGGCCAATGAGGAAGCCGGGTCGTAAGGATGATGCCCGTGTTGTTTAAGCACCATGATATGCCCGATTATTATATATTTTTCATATGATCTTTATGTATGTATAGGGCAGTGTTGGCGAACCTCGGCACTCCAGCTGTGCCAAAACTACAAATCCCAACATGCATCTGCCTCTGGGAGTCCTGCCTGTGGCTGTCAGAGCCTTGCAATGCCTCATGGGACTTGTAGTTCCAAAACAGCTGGAGTGCCGATGTTCGCCACCACTGGTATAGGGGGAGAGACGAATCACGATACATGTATGTGAAACAGCTGTTGCCGTGTTGTAAAACACTTGTAGCTGCACTGAAGTCTCCGACTTGGAGCTTCTTCTCGACATGGTACCCCTGCCTGCATTGTAGTCCAGGGGCCTGTACAGTATCCCTGACAGATCTACTACAAGGATACAAAAGCTCAGATATCCTCAGACGGGATCACACCTTTTATTTTTGCAATGATCTGATGGTTGATGATGGGCCGGTGCAGCTTACAATTTAATATCACTCTGAAGCTGGCTGGTCTGATGTTCTGCACTGACTCTAATAAGGTAATTGTGGGAAAATATGTGTATTATACGGGCCAGATACAACCTATTATAAAGCTGTAACCTGTAATTACCTGGGTCCTGAGCACAGTGTAATTCCACAGCGGGACGTGTGCATTGCGTTTGCGAGGACTGAATAAGCCATCAATAGACCTATGTGATAATAGAAATACAAATCACTATAACCTGTGATACTGGATACTAATACAAGTTTATAATAATTACCTAATACGTATAATAATCAAGAAGAGGGAATATTGTTTCCTATATTTAAAGAAGATATGACTCCCGTGATGGACTACAATCACACGTTTAGTTTACTAATTTGTACTGAGATTGTAGTCCATCACAGAAGCGAGCTTGAAGTGGTGACTTCTTTACAACACACAGGGGGCATGGGGAACAAAAGTAGCCCCCCTCCAGAAGGAAGGACAGTGTCGGCAGCAATTCAGAGATGATTTGAGGATCTACAGCCGAGTGACACACAAATAAGATACATTTATGGTAATAGTTAAAAGGTACTTGGATGAATTTTTAAGGTTTAATTCCGGAGTTTACGGTCACTTTAAACAGCCCTGGGAATCAGCAGTTTGCTTGGTCCCGGCCACCACGTGGACTGGAACCACCAGCTGTTAGTGATAACTAGCATCCGACACTGAGCCCAAGAGCTGCATCAATGAGCTCCTGTGCTTCTGATCTTGCTATACAGTGCTCCATAGCAGCTCTTGTAGCAGATCACTGCAAGCACAATGCTTCCACACGGTGTGTTTTGACCCCTGAAACCTGTTGTCATGTTTTGTCTTTCTGGTTGTCATCCATACTTATACCACTGCGAGTCTGCAAGTCTCAGAACATACCACCGTACAGACAACAGAGGGGTGTTGCTGATAAATTACCAGTAGCGATTGGCATTCATCAGGGTCAGCTGGAATCCGATCAAGCCGTAGAGATAAGAATGGTTGTTCCAAGCGGTCTTGTCTAGGAAGAAGACATACCAGTACGGCACTACAAATAGCAGGCAGCTAAGGCGGTAGAAGCATCCGAGGGTTATGCCCAGGGCCCCTGGAAGAGAGGAGACACTACAGTGAATATACAGAACAGTGCAGCAATGAACAATGTTTGAGGGTTTTAAGGCTCATTCACACGGATCTGCACATCTGTTCGGCATGAATGCCTTTACAGAGAAGCAGAGGTGCTGCGTTTAATTGTACACAGCCGCCTGTACCCCCTATGGCAGGATAGATCCAGGTGCCCAGACATTTGGATGCACACACAGGTGCAAGTCTTTGCACGGGCATGCATGCCCATGTGAGTGAACCAGGGATGCACTGAAATCTCGGCCGCCAAAACATATCGGCCCAAAATGGCACTTTTGGCAAAATGCCGAAAGTGCTATTTTTTGGCCGAAATAGCGATGCATCTGTGATTTCTCTCCTCCCCGCTGGGCGGTGCTCTGTGTCCCAGCAGGGAGGAGAGAAACTGTCACAGGAGGCCGAGCAGTGCGGGAGGAGAGTGCTGTGAGCGCCCGGCGTCTCTCCTCCCCGCACCGCTTGGCCTCCTGTCACAGATCAGAAAAGTGGCGGTGACAGCTGTCACAGAAGGCAGGCCGGTGGTGCGGGGGAGGAGTCAGCTGTCAGATCAAGCTCTCCTCCCCGCACAGCCGATCCAGGAAAGATTGCGGGTACAAGCAGTCAGTGAGTGTTTGTAAATAATTAAGGGCAGAGTATGTTTAGTATATCCCCAATTATGAATGAATGGGAAGTGATCTACATCACTTCCTGTTCATTCATGATTGTGGATATAGTAAATACACAATGTCCTCATGTTATGAATGAACAGGAACACTCAGAGTAGAGGATTCCTGTTCATTTATAACAGGGGATGCAGAAAAAGAGATAGAGGACTCTGTTCTCAATCTCTTTTTCTATTTTAAAAAGGGAAATATCAGGGGTTTAGACCCCAATATTCCCCTGAAACCCACCCAACAGTAAAGTAAAAAATTTAAATATTAATAAAAATAAAATATAAAAAAATGTAAAAGTTTATAAAAACTAAAATAAAAATAAAATATTGGAAAAAGAAATAAAAAACAACATTTTCGATTTCGGCCCGACATTTTTTTTTCATTTTGGTTTTTACATTTTAATTTCGGTGCACCTCTAGAATGAACCCCATCTGAACTCACACAGGCGCCACCTATGCATTACAGAGCAGCAGGTGCGTTGCACGGTATTGCGGCCAGGAGCACGTTTGGGATGCCAGTCATATGAATGGCAATGCAAAGCACCTGCCACACTAACGCACAGTAGGTGCATTGCGCGGTACCGTGCGATTAGCACACGGCATAAATGTGAACAGGTCTTCACACCTACAATGTCTATTGGTTTGGCCCTCCACAACAGTCCCAGCTTCTCATGTGGCCCCTTAAGAAAATGAATTGCCCACCCCTGCATTAGAGAAATACAGACATTACACCTTTCCATACGTGTTTATATTGAGAGAAATGACTGAAGCATTAGCCAATAGGCATGTACAATGCAATGACAACAAATCTCCCACCTAGTAGCATGATGACGTAGACCAGGTACATCCAGTCCAGGGGCAAAGGTCGGAGGTTGTTGAAAAGAGGGAATCGGCAGACGTCCAGCCCATCCAGATACTTGTGGTCCAGGTAACTGAGTCCGCGCTCCTGGGGGATGTCCAGAACCATAAGAAGTCCTGCAGGGAAGGCAGACACAACAACATTCAACATAACTGCTCTGCACAGAACAGCTCTATAATATATTTCCTCATTTATTTAAATAGGACATTGAAATTGTACAGGGGGCACAACAATTACCACCAACTTCTCACTATGGGGTCTATTTATAAACAATTCACAAAGACATTCGCCCTACAAATCTCTGTGAACATTTATTAAATGTTAATAAAGACAAAACCGAACATTCTTAGTATATTTTCTTTTCAGTTTAAATGTAATGTAATGAATGTGATGATACTGAATTATGGCCACTAGATGGAGCTGAGGAGACATTCATTTTTGCCCCTATGCGCACTCCTGCAGACTAGAACAGGTGCGCAAGGACAAAGAGTGGTAGGGGTGCTGGAAGTAGAGTTGCAACTAACGATTATTGTCAAAATCTGTTAGCCAATTATTAAGTTCGGTTAATTGGATACAACATTTTTTTTTAAATGGCTCCATTGATGGGACTACTAGTTTGTATTGAGATTGAAGTCCATCACAAGAGCAAGCTTGGAGCGGTTGAAGTAAAAAAGCACCGGCTATAGTGGAATACAACAAATCCCAGCAATAGTACATTATAGCTGGCGGTATTCTGCATTGCGCTGTATAATGTACTATTGCTGGGATTTTTTTGTACTCTATAGCTGGTGGTATTCTGCATTGCACTGTATTATTGCTGGGTTTTGTAGTCCTCTATACAGCGCAATGCAGAATACCATCAGCTATAACGCGTGGATGTGGGCGGGTGGGTCTGGCAGCGGCGAGCGTGAGGTGGGGAGGAGGTGCTGTGCACAGCGTGTGTGGAGCCGTAAACAGGGCCAACTAATCGGAAACCGATGATTGAAAAAGTTGACAACTTTTTCAATCATCGATTATTATGGATTTAGTCGATTAGTTGTTGCAGCCCTAGCTGGAAGACAGCACAGCTACCGGGAATGCTGGGATCAGTAGTGCAGAGGTGATTGCGCAGAACCTCTGCGCACAGACTGGTTACGGCTTCCTGACAAGGGCAAGACATTCCTCTCTCCCCTCCTCCTTCTCCAAGCTGGTAGATGGAAGGCTGCTGGAGTCTGCTCTGTCCCTTGTGTTCTTATAGTGGACAGGAAGTTCAGGGAAGCCGAGCGAGTTGCAGCTGTTCTGAAACATGATGACTAGAAGTGTTTGGGCAAAAAACGTAAAGGAATACTTTGCTGGGCCATGTAGATTTGTTTAATCCGGATTCATTATTGAAAATAAAGTCTGAGAGTTTCATATTACTTTAAACCGTTTGGGCTGGTTGCCATGTCTATGAACCCCACTACCCAGCCAAGCGTTGTGTGGAGGATAACTGATGAGGACAATGACATTGCACTTGCTCTGGTTTCTGCTCTTCCTCCCTACAAGTCAGCATCTGCGAATGCGCACAGACCGGGATTAACAAGGAAACAGAAAATTATTTACAAAGTGTTAATATACAATTGTTAATTGTGACCGTTCATAATATGCCATCCAAGACCGTAAATGATGGATGGCATTTTATTCACAATTAAAGGAGAACTATGAGGTGAGTGATTTCCACTCATCCTCATAGTTCGAGCCGACGTGTGACAAAGAAGTCGTCGCACGTCGGCTCATTAGATCAGGAAGTGAGCGAACACATACCGTTGCTCTCTCACTTTCCGATTGTCTCCCTGCAGTGAACAGTGGCTGTCACTCCCCGCAGGGATTCCCCCCTCCGGTCCTCCGGCACTGATAGGAGGAACGAACAGGGAAAGGGGCGGGCACAGCTGGCTCTGCCTCTAGATAGGCAGAGCCAGCTGTCAATCAGCCAGCTGGGTGGATCTAGACAGTATTGTCGGGATCCGTCCCGGCTGCCTCAGTAGATCACGGGCAATAGCTCGCTATATACTGAGCTTTGGGTCACGGGAGGAGGTTAGTATATGTCCTCCCGTGACCCTAAAGAGAACTACCGGGAAAAACACTTACCCCATAGTTCTCTTTCAACATACATTATAATGCAATTGCTTACGATACTAATTGTGAATAAAATGCCATCCATCATTTACTGCCATGGATGCCATATTATGAACGGTCACAATTAACCATTACAACAAAATACTTTGTGAATAAACGCCGGTTTCCTCACTAATCCCGGTCTGTGCGCAGATGCTGAGGTCTGCAAATCAGACGGGGTCAGCGTTCTCGATAGAACACAGGGACGATTCAGAGGAGGAAGCCATCTTGTCCTGATTTGTCCCTTTGTTCCATAGAACAGCTAGAAGCAGCTATTTGTATGTTCACCACAGCTGGGGGGGGTCGAAGTTTGGCTATCCCTACCCCAGAACACAGTGCAGTCACAGCGGCTCTGACACAATCATTGATATGGGAGATTGTAATAATCACAGGAAATGGAATTTATGCAAAACATAGAAAACCCGTTACATGACGTTTATGCCCTCACATCATCCCTATGGGTCTACTAACCATTCGAGTACCAGTAATAACGCGTCATTACCAGGCCAGGTTTTAGTTTTCAGTGCTGTGATAGTTTAATTGATAAGCTATCACTCTTCTCCCCAGTCTCCAGCCGTCCATTCATTTGCAGTAGACGTGAGTACCCCGAGGTATATTTCACCAGCCAGATTGGAGGACGGGGAGCACGGGGGGCGGGGGAGAGGTGAGCACTGGCCACAAGAGGTCAATCTGATTTACTCCAGCCCCTAGACAAAAACGCCCATAGGATGTACTTCCTCAATGCACTGACACAATATCACTCAGCCCTGAGAATATGAACTTCCTGGTGTCATGACTCTCACAGGGCCTGCCTTCTGAACTACATCTCAACGTCTGAACAATGCAACATCATCACTGCTTGTTGGAAGCAATGCATGATGGGATATGTAGTCTTAAGAAATGGATATTGCATCACATCAAGCAGCAGGTAAAGAGACGCAAAGCACACTGGGAATCCAGGAAGTTGTTGGAAGTGATGGGCAGATGGAAGGCAGCGCTCACTACATGACAAGGATTTCATCAATGAGCTTTGATTGTATTATCAGAAACAACTCCTAGTAATTATTCCTATTACACTGCTGATGTTATAACAGGAGAGGAGATGCTGGGACTTTACATCTCCTTTAAGTCAGCTATATGCTGCAGTGATCCCAGCGGCCTGGAAATCCTAAATCCTCCTTCACACTAGCAGCTTGTACTACATGTGCCGTTTCCTAATTTAGACGTAATGGTAATGAAAGGCGCCATTCACATAATTCACGTCACACTTCTACATGTTACACATACCGTACCTGCCGTGTACAAAGAAGGAAGTGTGTGCAGTGTTCATCGGTTCATTTTGCAGGAAAGGTTTATTATCTAATATAAACCCATCACACACTACATGGATGTGATCAGATGGAAATATACAGAGTAGCAGAAAGACTGAGATCACAAAGCACTTTATTCACAAAGCTCCATCACACTGCTGAAATCTGCAGATAGGTGCTGCTAATGTGGATGGAGCCTTAGGCCAGGGCTGTAGCTACCATGAGGCAAGTGAGGCACGCCTCATGGTAGCTGTGCCCCCTCGCCCGTTGCCAACGGCGAGCACAGGGCACCATGGCAACAGGGGCACCAGACGGCCAACACAGCTGCGGCTGGGCAGGGAGGAGAGGGGCAGCACAGGCAGCTGCTTCTCCTCGGATCCCCACTGCTCTCCCCCGCCTGTATGGGCAGGGGCAGTGGGGATCCGAGGAGAAACATGGGATTGGTAGTTTCACCACAGCTGGAGGGCCAGAGTTTGGCTACCCCTGGCTTAGATGATATTTCCCCGAAGCCCCCACAACAGTAAAAAAAAAAAAACCCCCACACACGCACAAATATTATTAGACATGTGCGAAGACTAAAAAAAAAAATTCAGATGAAATGAATGGAAACGAAAAATGTTTTCATTAGTTTCATCAAACAAAACAAATTTTTATGCCATTTTGGATTTGGCCGCCAGCGCATTCTGCACATGCGCGCCGCCATCCTGGAGGCGGGCGTATGATGTCACTGGATGCCGTGCGTGCGGCGGTTGACATCTTACATCTTTTGGGGGGCACAATTTTCTGTTCTTGCCTCGGGCACAAACGTAGCTCGCTCCGGCTCTGCCTAGGCCGTCCTAATATGACCCTGTGTGTTATGGGACACTGACGTGTCTCTCTCTTGTAGGATCAGAGCAGACACAACTCCACAATGTGCGGTCAGAGGCTGACCTCTCACACTGAGCAAACTGTAGGAACGGTCAGGTTATCAATGCACTTTGTCCAGCCAACACTCCCCCACTACAAAGGAGAATGACCCTTGTTCCTGTGTGTGTGTGTGTGTGGGCAGATTTCATTCTAGGCTACTAGATAATACAACCATACAGGTCATGGCAAGAAGGGACTAAAGCAATCAAAAATCAGTGCCTAGTACAGGCATCCTCAGCCCTCCATGTGTTGTGGAACTACAAGTCCCATGAGGCATTGCGAGACCCTGATAGCCACAGGAATGGCTCCCAGAGGCAGAAGCATGATGGGATTTGTAGCTTCACCACAGGTAGAGTGCCGTGGTTGCCTACCCCTGGTCTAGCAGATAGAAAAACTACTTAGAACAGAAGGTATTCACCCGTCTCATTCAATCACATATATCAAAAATAAAAGGATTATTCTTCATTGTAGGACAGTGGGTGGACCCTTGCATATCATTGCTTTATGCCCCATTGGGCAAATGCACATCCAGAATTGCTGGATTACGGAGCATATAAAGCTTAATATTAGAGAGCCATTTATTCCAAACTGCACACAACTGCTTCAGGCTATCATTAGTGCAGTGTATGGAAACCATGACATCTATGGAGTAGGGTATGGGACCCAATGAGACAACCATACAGGTTATATACAGCTAGTTCAGGCTATAAGGCCATCATCAGTGCAGTGTATGGAAACCATGGCATCTATGGAGTAGGGTATGGGATCCAATGAGACCACCATACAGGTTATTTACAGTTAGTTCAGGCTATAAGGCCATCATCAGTGCAGTGTATGGAAACCATGGCATCTATGGAGTAGGGTATGGGACCCAATGAGACAACCATACAGGTTATATACAGCTAGTTCAGGCTATAAGGCCATCATCAGTGCAGTGTATGGAAACCATGGCATCTATGGAGTAGGGTATGGGACCCAATGAGACAACCATACAGGTTACATACAGCTAGTTCAGGCTATAAGGCCATCATCAGAGCTGTGTATGGAAAACATGACTTCTATGGAGAAGTGTATGAGACAACCATATAGGTTATACTATATACAGCTGCTTCAGACTTTAAGGCCCACATCAGTGCAGTGTATGGAAACCATGGCATCTATGGAGAAGGGTATGGGACCCAAAGAAACAACCATACAGGTTACATACAGCTAGTTCATTTTTTTTGTCCATGATCAGTGCAGTGTAACCTGTATGGTTATACTGTCCCGTTGGGTCCTATAGCCTACCCCACAGAAGCCAAGGTTTCCATACCTATTGTTCTAAGAAGGATTTACTGTAGGGTTGTACCGATACCGGTTTTTCGGTATCGGGTACTGATATTTTTCTTTCGGTACTCGACGATACTGAATACCGATACCGGAAGTCCCATTAAGTAAGCTAGGCGACGTGTAATGACTCGCCACCCGGCTTCCTGATTGGCCGTGAAGCCGGCTCCATGTTCCCTCGTCATGACCTGACGAGGGAGCATGAAACCAGCCTCCTGGCCATTTAGAACGCCGGGCGCCACGTCATTACACGGCGCCCGGCTTCCTGATTGGCATGAAACCAGCCTCCTGGCCATTTAGAAAGCCGGGTGCCACATCATTACACGGCACCCGGCTTCCTGATTGGCCAGCTTCCCAACCAATCAGGAAGCCAGGCAGCGAGTCATTACACACTGCCTGGCTTCCTAATTGGCCCGGAAGCCTGCTCCATGCTCCCTCGTCACTTGCATGGAGCTTCCCAGCCAATCAGGAAGCAAGGCAGCGTGTAATGACATGGTGCCTGGCTTCCTGATACCGGAAGTATCGGGTTAGGCATCGGAGCATTTGGGCGAGTACGAGTACTCGCCCAAACACTCGGCATCGGCACCAATACTAGTATCGGTGCATCCCTACTTTACTGTTTTATGCAATTATTTGGTTGGAAGGATTTTTGATTGCTTTAGTCCCTTCTTGCCATAACCTGTATGATTATACTGTCAGATTGGGGTCCCATACCCTTCTCCTTAGAAGCCATGGTTTCCATACACTGCACAGATGATGACCCAAAAAGCCTGTACTAGCTTGTTACTAGCATGGTTGCCTCGATGGGTCCCATACTCTTCCCAAATAGAAGCCATGGATTTCATACACTGCACTGATGATGACCAAATGAATCCTGAAACATCTGTATGTAACATGTATGGTTGTCTTCTTGGGTCTCATACCCTTTTCTATAGAAGCCATGGATTCCATACACTGCACTGACGATGGCCTTAAAGCATGAAGCAGCTTTGAATCAATGGCTCTATAATATGAGGCGATATCTGTGCAATACACCAGCATTTCTGGATGAGCATCTGGCTGATGGGGTGTCAGGCAATGATTTGCATTGGCTCCTCCCACTGTCCTGAAATGAGGAATAATCTGGCATGTGATAGAATGAGACATGTGAATACTTCCTGTTCTCAGAAGGCTTACTTCTCTATGCACTGATTCTGATTTGTAGTCCCGTCTCACCCTATCCTATGTGGTTATACTGTCTAATACATTAATAGAAGACTCAGGAGCACTATACAGGGTCACCTGGAAGTGTGACCGCCCCCCGAGTGAGGATATCCCTTGCATGTGTTTTCATGGAATATATTCAGCTTCTCATACAGACAGGAAACAAGAAGAGGAAACATAAGGAAACAGACATCCCAGCAGAGCAAGAAAAATGCCCCAAAAACTCCTGAACAGGACTCACCAAAGAGGAAGCGGAAAACGCAGAGACCAGCCGGGTCTGTCGGTCGGTTCATCAGGCTGACAAATCGCTGCCAGCTGGACAGATCTGAGCCTTCAAATCCAAACACCCGCTTCATGAAGCTGCCCCGTTCCTGGCGCGGCCGCGACGCCGCTCTCTCTGGCGCGCCTGCATTGGGATTTTTTCGCCGCCTGACCTGGGACGCTTCTGATTTCAGGGCGGCTGGAAGAAAAGAAATGTATATATATATTGATTGATGATGAGACGGTCGGGGACATGGCTGGAGCGTAGAACAGTGGACACCCAGCTCCTGAGGATCAAACACACTCATAGCTCAAACATCGGCGTCTGGTGTTTCCACAGAGCCAGTTTACTGCCAGACAGCTAACCACAAGGAGGCTGGAACGTGGCAGCCGTAACTCTGTACCCGGGCACAGGCATCAGAGGCCGCAACTGTCCCATCAGCTCAATGCAGAAGATCAAATGAGGCGTTAACATCATGATCAATGTCCTCCTATAGAGCGTCGGA